TTTCATGGAAAAGGACTTCTGAAAATTTGACAATCCGCTGGAATTTCATCGAAAAGGACTTCTGAAAATTTGACAATCCGCTGGAATTTCATCGAAAAGGACTTCTGAAAATTTGACAATCCGCTGGAATTTAATCGAAAAGGACTTGTGGAAATTTGGCGATCAGCTGGAATTTCATCGAAAAGGACTTGAAAAAATTTAGCGATCTGCTGGGATTTCTTCAAAAAGGACTTCTGGAAATTTAGCGACTCTCCCTGGGGAGGCCACCCAGCCTCCGCAACTGGAAAGCGTGGTATTTTATATTCTGTTGTGTTAAACTTCCTTTAATCTGAACACTTTCCAAAAAAAGAACACATTTTCGTCAGTTGGTCCAACTTCATATCTCATTCGCTGGATGAGTGAGACGGGGCCTCCGTATGTGGCACACACACAATATTTTTTAGCGTTTCTTTTTTCCGCGTCCATCTGCATAATAACATACATGTACAGTCTCAGCCAGCAGGCCGTCGACTCAGACGAGTTGAACGATCGTTCTTTGTCGCACCGCTTTGTCTAATCATTAATGCAAGTAACCATGTGCGTGTCTATCAGGCCATTATGTCTTTTACACTTGCCACCCACACGCGCAAACACACCTCTACGTACACACCTTCACTTACATCCACTTATTATACATATACATATGTTTATTTACCGTTACTAATTTTGGACGTTCAAAGATCATGAAGAAACTTATAAATATGATCATAATTTTACATGACTTTTAATAAAATCACATCTGTATGTATCTGATGAGACGGAGGGGTCCGGTTGTCTAGTTACTACTGAAGGTAGGGTACGGTAGGGTCCTCTGCGATTTATTTTTGTTTCTCGACCAGTCTCCGTACGGACTTAAGTCAGGTAACACATCCTCGACTTAAGTTGGCGCCGGCGCAACGCTAAGTCCACGGTAGCTCGGGGTTTTAACATTGACGAGCGCGAGGTGTCTGTGTAATAAAAAGAACGAAGCAAATTGTGTGTTATAAAGTTATAAGAGAGGGCTGAAAAGCCAGGAAGTACCTACTGGAAATTGTGGAGGAAGGTTTTTGGGTCTTTTTTTGTTGAGGTATGCAAGAACTGTATTTTAAATAGTACCACTTATATCCATACAAAATGTAGAAATCCAACTGATACACTAACTGTAAAGTTATGAATAGGTGCAGTTGTAAATAATCCATTCAAATTCATTACCATTGATAGTTCGTTCTGTTGAAATGCAATCCGACAATTTTTTATTTCTTGGTAGGTAGCGTGAGGTTAACAAGTTGCAGCTTTTGCAAATTCTTCGTTGTCCTTGAACACCTGCTTCAATGAATGTGAATCACGCGATAACCGACTCGACGCTCTCATCAGGATCTGCAGAAGTTTGCTTTGTGTGTCTCTTACAATTTTTCTTTTTTTGTAACTGTTAATCCGCGTTATTTTTTTGCATTTCGGCAAAAAGCTTTCAATGGCTAGTAGGTAATGCAATCAATTTTTATTGATAAACAATTTAATAATTATATAGTGATGTGTATCAGTATCGAATCAGTCTTTTTTCTTATTCTAATTCAAAAAGTTGCATTTAAAGAAAATCTAAAATTCATGGGTTCCATGCGTCATGTGCCAAATTTCGACGTATGTAGATTCTTTATCATAGAATCTTCACCAGAGATCAGTGATACTGAAGAGGGTCTTCCGCCCTACCTTCTGGCGTAATCTGAAGGGACTAATCGCCTACCAGCATTAGGGGAATAAAATACCCAAAAGTTTTTTTTCTATAGAGTAGCCCCGATGGGACGAAGCAGTGTGGCTAATATCGATGGAACCCTTGCTGGACTCCCTCCCAAAATTCTAGTCGGGTGTTATTTAAACGAATTCATTTATAACTAATATTATTTGTTTATATATAAATATTTCTTTTTTGTAAGATCGACCTAACTGTATCTCATCGTTGATATTAACAATCAGGTTCGAAGCAAAATGACCAACGGACTAACTATTACATGCAGTATTCTAAAAGTTATCAAAAATTGTTGTGCATATTAAAACTACAGGTTCTTGTTGTCCTAATTGTGTGATAAACACTGCTTATTCATAAACATTCCGTATGCAATTTTAGTTAACGAATTTCTGTTAATTTTTGTGTTCTCTTGACTTCATTTAAAAATCCTTCCGTCCTAATCTCATGACTGAAAGTAAGTTTTATTGATGGGGGGCTATTAACGAACATTCTTAATTATCTTTTTCTTTTGTTATTTTTTTAACGAAAGCACCAGTATCTTTGTTGATATACAGATAATGAAAACTAGATTGTGTCTTTGTAATACACATTATAATATACATATATTTGTGACATTATACTGTAGTATTCATAGTTCACACTTGTTAAAAAAATGCGCCAATTAATTCAAAATTTTACTATAGTTATGCACCTATCTACTGTACATCAGGGTGGAATTATAGAACAATAGTAAGTACCTATATGATGCTAATAAATTAATATACAATAGGAATCTATTTCTTTGTTTCTAGATTAAAACCACTTAAATTTTATTATTTGTTTTCTAAAGTCGTTCGACGATCTGTTTTATTTTTGAAAATAACGCCTACTGTTTTTTTTTGTGAACGTCACCGTGATATGATACACGATTTTGCGTATTGCAATTCTCAATTTTTTTTTCGCGTTATTGCCAATATTGTCAGCAACTTCGGAAAAGCGCTAGCGTTGTCAAAAATTAACATTTTTGCTTGCTTATCCATTTTGTGGAATGGTTTTCTAAAAATAGCATGTTGAAAATTATTTTTTCAATCAAAAAAATACCTCGTGCTGCCAAATGAAGCAAGTCTTTCTAGTAGTAATCAAATAAATGTGTGACTATTCAAATTTCGCAAATTTTAAAACACGATTTAGTATTGGTGTGCATATATTTTGATTAGATGTGTTAATTTAATCTTTTATACCTAATTAAAACCTGGATACATTATTGCACATATATATTTTTAATTTTAGTATCATCGATTCGTTGTTGTGATTCTAGGAAATTGGCGTTACTTATCTCATGTGATAACGTGATAAAATACAGGGTGGTACAATTTGTTTTGTAGTTCAGGAAATACACATTTATTCAATATATATACATTGATGGCAGCTTAAGTTAGGGATTTTCTATTACGTGCATTTTTTTAACCACGTCTATCTAGCTTTTAAATCTTAATTTCAGTGTAATTTACTTAATTGTTACGGTATGTAATTTTAGGTGGTACTTGTTAAGTAATAGAAAACCAAAAAGTATTTCCTGACTATCTAAAATTTCAAATATTTGTGGATTATGCACAAACCACAATTTTCTGCGGTTTATTTTTGAAAGATTAAAACCTTCTAACTACTTTCTCATTACAAAATGCCTAATTTTTGTCAAACTAATTAACTACATATCCAAGTATTATTAATTAGGCAGTTTAATTACTAAATAATTAATTAATACCACGCACCGGCTGAATTTGTTCTTTGTTGATGTAACTATCGATTATTTTTTTGACAAAAGTGGCGCCATATTATATTGCTTCATTTAAATACACGTAATGATAATATTATTGGATAAGATAAGCGAATCTAGTCAGCTGTGCAAGACAAATAATGTTTCATCAATCAAAAATTATGTGTCATATATAGAATTGTAACAGCCGAAGTCACATTTAATGGCCTAAACCAATTATGTCCGAATTTTCTACTTCCTACTTCTACTTGCAATTGGTAAGTCGTTTCAGAACCGTTGACGTTTGTATCAAAATATTTGAGAGTTGCTAACTGCAATGGCCTCAAATTTACTTTTTAGTTATTTTGAAGTGTTGCACTCGTTGTTTGCGACCATTACATTAATAATGAACTAATTTATGCAATAAGTAATGAGGCGTTTACGTAAGTAGGTGGTATGTTTTATGGAGTAATTTTTATTGATTAAAAACGTTACAGTAAAGGTGTAGTAGGTTTTTTTTATTAATACACTGTAGAAGATCAAAAGAAATAAGTTGTTAGAATGGAACATACTTCTAATTTTAGTAAGGATAATTTTTGTACAATTGATGACTAAATCAACAAATAAAGTAGGGAGTCCTGTTGGATTAGGAAGCTTGGTGATTTAGAAAAGCATGTTTTCAAAAATTTAATCGATTCGTGGGTGGTAAAAAACGGTTTCCCCAATTTATGGCACTTTTGGCCATGAGACCCAATGGTCCTTATGTAAATACGATCTAGCTATGCTATTATTAGTTTAGTTTTTCATGTTTTGTTTCATGAAGTGCGTAATGAGCTATGTAGAATATAAGAGAGGATAAGATAGAAACAGAAAAGCTTGAAATGTGGGACATCCCATGAAGGAAATCATGATAGGAGCAAGCTTTATCCAAGCTTGGTCGAAGATCTCTCGATTTTGGTCCGAGATTGGCAACCAATATTGGACCAAAGACGAGAAATACTTGATTTATTACTTCAGTCCGGGTCTGGTGGGTATCCACGAATGTTGAGTCAAGACTTGATGAACAATACTAACCCAAAACTGGGCAGTCGATATTGTGCCAATACATAATGAACCAACTAATCCAAGATTAGATAACTGTGTCGCTTTCTATCTATCTTGGCCTATGGTTCGTTGTCCAATATTGAATGTAGTTTGGTGAAACATTTATATGTAGTCTTTGCACTCGAAACTTGACTGAACTTGATGACAAAAATACACACTTAACTACCTAATATTGCACTAAACTTGGCGAAACGTAACGTTTGAAGCCTGTCGTCGAATCCGGCATTTCTTACATGGGATATAACGGACACCACTTTCACACAAAAAAACTGGACTTACAAAGTGGGAATCCCTAATTTGTGGGGGGCTTGGGCACGAGCTCCAAAGGTCCTTATATAATAATAAATACGGCCCTGTCATTAAGTTGTTATTAATTTGGTTTTTCATCTTTTGTTTCAGTAACATTTAATAACACTGGGGCGCAAGGCAGCACAGGACGCCGCGATGGTGGACTACTACAGGGTCCTCGAAGTAACACGCGGCGCAACTTCCGCTGAAATCAAAAAGGCGTAAGTTTTTTACATACATTTTTTTATTTATCATCATTATAAGGTCGTCAGTCCTAAGATTGGTTGGATACGCACCTCCACTTTTTTCTATCCTGAGCTAATCTTCGCATTTCCCTAAAACTAGAACAGCACACATCCTTAATTATTTGCGAACAGTAATCTAATCTAGGTCTACCTCTACCCCTCCTAACTCCCGTTTCTGTCTCTAATATGTCTCTGATTAGACTTTCATGCCTGAGAGGGTGTCCTACCAATTTATTTCTTATTGACTTCCATTGAGTCCTTTGTTCTCCTATTCTTTCTAATACCTCTTCATTTCTAACCTTCTCTATCCACGGTATCCTCATCATTCGCCTGTAATACCACATTTCGAACACTTGTAACCTTTTCTTCTCTGCCGTGCCCACTGTCCATGTTTCGCACCCGTACAGTGCCGCGCTCCAAACATACACCTTTAACAATCTTTTTCGAAATTATAAATTAACCGTTCGCGACTTCTTATTGAAGGCGACTCCTTCTGTCTTGACTTATCTGACTTCCTAGATATCTAAAATCAGCCACTTCTTCTAATTTTTCGTCTTTATATTATATTTATTTATGTAGCATTAAAACCAAATAATTTTCTAAAATATTGTCGTAACTTTAATTTTATTCTATAGGTAGATACCATGATTAATTTTATGAATTTCTATGTGCCATATTATGAAAATATTATATCGTTTTCCGCGTTTTACCTATGCCGTTTACTTTTCTTCGCGTCAAGGACGAATTCCTCAGATTGTACTCGGGCTTTGAATTGTTTTCCCTCTTTTTCTTCAGCAAATGAATGTCTGTACATAAGTATACTTACGTATACAGATTCCATTTCGGAATTATGTAACATAAATAGTTTACGGTCTGTGGCGAGTTTACTTTATTTAGATGTTGCCTAATCATTACCTTACACTAGTTTATTGTAACAACAGTGACTTTAAAGTCTGTTAAATTTTTAGTCAATATGCCAGACGTTAAAAAATGTTCATCATCATCACGATAATAGTGCAGGGTGGAATATTTCTGTTTTGTACAAATATTGTCGAGGGTACAGAAAAGGACATAGGGAAAAAAAATTCTGTTCTCAAGGGATAGAAAAATTAGTTTTATATGATCGTCGACGATCCTTGACACGTATTCAGGTCATCGAATCGAGCGAAGCTGTGAGTAAAACCTATCAGTGGTGTTGGGGAGAGCTTGGAACTTCATGGAAGCAAATTTAGTTTTCATCTTTCATTTTTTGTACAAAATCCAAGATTTCCTTCATCTTCTTTGTCGTACAATTCATATCGTCCATTTGGACACTGATAACTCGTGCGTGCATTTTTGACCAGTATTTGACCGCATCTAAACAACTGCAGTTCCAGGAATTTCCGTTGGCCGAAATGTAGTTAACAGGTGGTAAACTGTTGAGGAAATCTTCACTCAAACAATCCTAATTATTTTCGTCGAGAATAAGCGTTCCAACTCTTGGTAAAGACGAGAAAGCGTTTGTGGGAAGCATTTTGATAGAATTTTTGTGGAGATCCAAATAACCAATCTGTCCCATTCCTCGGATCACCAAGGAGTCACTCATGGAAAGATTGATTGCGGTACCCACCGAGTAACCGTCTAACTCATGGGTGCCCTTAAGGTTTGCGAAGGCGTTTCCCGGTAGGGACGCAATCTTGTTGTGAGCAAAAGACACAGTTACAATGTTAGGGGAGTTGGTGAACCAGCTGGGGCTCCACATGGAAATCTTGTTGAATTCCGTTTCAATAGTCCTCAAGTTTGGCATATTATTATACGCGGGTAGTATCTATAATGGAATTATGGACACACATATTGTCAGGGTACAGAAAAGGACCTGGTGGTTAGTTTTTATCCAGGAAAAAAATACTATTCCCGATGGATAGAATAATTACTTTTATGTGGTTGTTGATGATCTGTCACATGACATCTATTTGGGATATAACCAACTGTATTCTGTTTTGTTTTGGCGTATCATTCGTTAAGTTTAAGAACGTTTCAGTCCACTTATTGGAAAGTGTTACAGTTTAAACTAACTTCACTTTTGTTTGACGTCGTTGTATTTCCGGTTGGCCAAAGGCACCGTTGGTACTGTGGGATTGTCTCTTGACCTGCTATGTATTTTGTAATGTGTTATTACACTTGCAAATGGTTTTAGATTATGCAGCCACATGTATCGTGCGTGTAAGTGTACGATTGTTGTCACGCTTCATTCATTTCGTCGTTAAATTGTTTGTTACATCAAACTGTGACGTTAATAATGTTCAGTGAAATAGTAATTTGAATCCAAATTGTCTACCCGAACATCAAACCAGTAACAAAACAAATTGAATAAAAGTACAGGGCCGTTGGAGGTTCTATTTTCTTTTATTTTAATTATTAATGTCAGGGACATTGTTTTATATAGTTTTTTCTTGTTATTAAATTTTTTTGGCGTACAATTTCCGAAGATATTTTTGGCCATAAAGAAAATTAAGATTGCGTAAACAGAATTCACGATTTCACATATTACTCGATCGTGGTAGCAAAACTTACCTTAATTTTTCATCTGCTACATTGGAAAACGAGGTGGAAAGTTATTGGTGAATATTCATAGGGGTAGTTTTCAGCCTCTTACAGATTTCAATTACTTTATTTATTCATATATTTAGCGTAAAGATTCATGATACATTCAGTTAACGAAAGTTCCAATTTTAATACCATCATTTTTCCCTATTATCACTGTAGCCAATGGTACCAATGATATAGTTCAAAAATACAGTTTCTTGTAATCACTTTCCTTCACTTAAAAGAATGTAGTCTGGTGTTTCTTCTTTGCTCTTTTTCCGGATTGATTAGTCGCTGGTTCACATCTTTCATCGGCTTCCCCAAACCTGATAATATCTCTGTGACTTTTTGACCATTTTTTCACCGTTCTGAAGCACGTACAGTTCCATGGGTTATCACCCATAGAAATTAAATTAAGTAGTGGAAGAACAGTCAAAACTTCGTTGGTCACGCACTCAATGTTGTTACCATCAAGTAGCACACTACCTATCCGGGCGATAATCGAAAAATGATTCGACCAAACAACGTCTGACCTGTGTCGTATCCAATCTCCCACTTGGTCGAAACCCCAAGGTTTATTAATATTAGTAGCCACCGTTTGATTCCAGTGGTAGATACTAGTCACGATCGGTAGACTCTGGCACATCCGAAGACCTTTGATGTTTTTAAAGGCATTACGGATTATTTTTGGATACGGTTTTGTACCAAGGACAGTGTTACTACTCGCGGACTGTTGGTGAGTTATTCGGGATTCCACATAAAAAGTTTGTTGAACGACAATTCCAACATTCGTAAATTGGGCATGTTATCGAACGCCTGTGGGTCAATGGAAGTTATCTTGTTGTGGGAAATGTCCAAACGATTGTTGAATGAAGACCTCGGTTTGTACGAACCTTAGCTCGTTTTCAACCACAACCAGTACCCTCAGAGAGGGTAGGTTGTCAAAAGCTTTGAGGCGTATGACTCCAATTTCGTTCTTATTCAGATAAAACACTTGGATGTTTATCAAATCTTTAATCAACCTTTCTTCAACTTCTCGTATTATATTGTCCAACACTATTATCTTGAAATAATCTTGATGGTTTGGTATCGTGTTTAGTTCTAAACGAATACCTTTTAAAGTGGTTGAAATAGATTTAGCTTCAACAGGTTATTTATTTTCAAAAGCATTTATTTTAGCACCAGCAAACGTGGACACTTCACAAGACGTGGAAATCGCTGGTATGACATGTGAAAACAGTAAAATAACAGACGAAATAATATTCATCTTCTGTTTCTCGCTGCTGTCTTTCGCTTTCTACACTATACTCACTGGAAAGTAATTTGTTAAGTCATTGAAAACAATAGCGGTAACTTGATGGCATTCAATTATTTATTGTTTATCATTGTTGCTATTGGATCTTATGTTTGTGTTTTGTTATCTTTTGTTTTAAATCAGATTGTGTTGCTTTAACGGCTGGGATTTCAACTGGTTTGGTTTAGTATTGCAAAAACAGTTTATAATTAGTGAAAGTGAACAGATAATAGAAAGCAAAACTAACTGTATCAAATTACTATTGTTTTAATAATTGTAAAGCTTAATTGTGAACATTAAAAGAATATGCGTACGTGCGTATGTACATGTTGAAAATTTTCTGCTTTCTTTCTGTAACAAAAATACGACGCTGTCGTTTTTTATGCAAAATTTCATGTATAAAGGAATATTTTTTACCAAAATTGTTAAATGAAATGTAAGTGTTTTAGGAGGAGGTAAATTACAGTTGTAGTTTAACGATAAAAAAAATTAATAGGAAACCTCATTTAATAACAATTTAGCGAGTGTTTTAATTACATATAAACCAAAAGTAATTAAAGTAATACCGTGAAAACAATACGTATTATGGGACCATTGTACCACCAGCAGTGGCGTTTTCGAGAGCTTGGAACTTCATGGAAGCAAATTTAGTTTTCATATCTTTCATGTTTTGTACAAAATCCAAGATTCCCTTCATCTTCTTTGTCGCACAATTCATATCGTCGATTTGGACATTGATAATTCCTCCGTGCATTTTTGACCAGGATTTGACCGCGTCTAAACAAGTGCAGTTCCAGGAATTTCCGTTGGCCGAAATGTAGTTAACAGGTGGTAAACTGTTGAGGAAATCTTCACTCAAACAATCCAATTTATTCTCATCGAGAATAAGCGTTCCAACTGTTGACAAAGACGAGAAAACGTGTGTGGGAAGCATTTTGATAGAATTTTTATGGAGATCCAAATAACCAATCTGTCCCATCCCTTGGAACGCCAGAGAGTCAATCATGGATATTTTGTTGTTGGAAAGATTGATTGCGGTGCCAACCGGATAACCGTCTAACTCATGGGTGCCCTTAAGGTTTGCGAAGGCGTTTCCCGGTAGGGACGCAATTTTGTTGTGAGCAAAAGACACGGTTACAATGTTGGGGGAGTTGGTGAACCAGCTGGGGCTCCACGTGGAGATCTTGTTGAACTCCGTTTCAATAGTCCTCAGGTTTGGCATGTTATCAAACGCTGCAGGGTCTATAACGCTAATACTGTTGTTGCTCAGACTTAAGAAGGACACAGTAAGCCCATTGAATATTCCTGCAGGAATCATTTTAATTTTGTTTCCGACCAGAGTCAATGCTTTCAGCGATGGTAGATTTTGGAAAGCGCCAGGTGTGATTTCTTTGATTCCGTTGAAGTCCAGGTTCAACACTTCGAGTTTGGCCAAGTCTTTGACGGCTTCGGGATACAGTATGGGCACCGAGGAGTTCATGATGGCAATCCTGACAGCTTCTTCGAGTCCGCTTCCTGGTTCCAAGCAGCCGTTTATCGTCGTTATCGGGAGAACATCTTCTGGAGTAGGTGTTGAACTCAGAGATGCCGCAGCAATGCTGTTGACGAATGTGATTTTTTCACAACATTGCACAGCAGATAATGAGGATATTATTAAGAGTGACATCAAAAATTTTACAGTACTAAAAGCAGCCATTTTTGGGTAGAACAATAAAAATTAACAGTCGTTGTATTTGTGACAATATCTTGGAAGAACTAAATGGTTTCTGATGCTTGTTGTTATTTTATACTGTTGTCTGTCTCAAGTTTATTTTGATTAGAAAAAAAAAAATACATAATTATCTGTAATCTAGAATGTGAATGTAGAAATGATAAATTGTTTTGTGCCGAGGCCAAAGAGGTGATAACCCCCATTAGGCTGCTGTTTTTCGACTTTTTTTACTCGTGGTTATTAACACCAAGGAAGATCATTGTTGTTTTCAACTGTTTCATCAATGTTGAAAAACAAAATCGTTGCGAAAATTTTGTTTCGAACAAAATGGAATATTTTCTATAAGTTGTTCTTGTTTTTGTTTTGTTAATTGTTGCTCGTGTAGTTTGTTAATGGAAATAGGAAGTCAGGGGAAAATTTTTGTTTACGGATATTCATAAGTCAATATGATATCTGTCGATTATCGTAGTTTGTGATTGTGCAAGTTGTTTTTCTTTTCTTTAATCTACATTAAATGAAGAACATAGTTTATTTTTTTGTTGCACTGGTAACTGCTATTTTTAACTTTTGTGGAGGAATTTAAAATCAAGTCGTTTTATAAATATCATTTTTATTGTAAATCTTGTTGTGGGGTAAGTTTTCAGAAATAGCTCTGGACAAAAGTTTCAAGAATCAAACTGGATTTTGCAGATTTATTTTGATTTCTAAATTTGTCGTTCCTCAAAAAATTATTAGCTGGAAGTCCTATCAAAGATGAAAAAATCACTCTTAATATACAAATTTGTCCTTCAGGATGGACCATTAAAGAACAAATTTGCATAAGTCGTTTTTCTTTTTTTCGCGCGATTATCTTCAACCTTCTACTGTGAAGTGAAATCGTTTTGGTTTTATCTTTTAAAAATTATAATATTATGTTATTGTATAACATTTTTTCAAGGCAATGGTGTCATTGATTGCTGTGTCTGGTTATTGGTACACTCAAACATTATTAATTCACGCATTTACGAAGGATTGTCGATTTTTAATGTTTATTATCGTTGCTTAGTAACCAACTGCATTTATTTGCATTTGTCATTTTGTTTTTTCTCTTTTGTTTTTTTCCTTTTTGTTACTGTGTAGGAGCTCTGACAACAATAAATTTGTAAAATAATAATGTAGTGACAGTTGCCTCGATGACTCACAAGAAAATTTTCATTTGTTTAAGGAAAAAGACGAAGGATTTATTGTTTCATAAAATCTTTCGATTGTGCACGTGTTTTAATACACGTTTGAATTTATTATCTTCTTTTGCCATGCGTGGTTGACGCCTTTGTAATACGATAATTTAGTACCACTTCCGTGACATTTTGTTGCACGGCACCTATTCGTAAATGAGTCACTTAAAAAATTACGGTAGCAATGTACAGAGTGTCTTCATAAAAATCGTCATGGGCCATCGCCCTTGCTCACAATGGTGCTTAAACTTGGCTTCAATCTTTCGTTATCGTCCGCCCCTTCACTATCAGTCTACGCTTAGGCCATCTCCTGAAAGCTGGCAGATGTGTACACCAAAGGAAGATCGATTGTGTAGTGAAGGGTCGATTCAGGATTCTGATAACATCATCGTGACCATTCGGAGCCCCTTCCTCAACATCCTTATGGACTTGTGCTAACGGGTAATCCACCTGGTAGAACGCTGGTGTGCTGACTCCGGGTTTCCCATCAATCCTAGGAAGTCAGAAGTCATTGTGGTTACCAGAAAATGTAACCCTTAAGGGTAGAGGGCAGGAACTCCACATACAAAATTCAGTGGTGAGGTACCTCGAGGTAATTCTTGACAGTAAACTCTCATGGGCTTGGGCGAATCAGAAAGGCCATTGGAAGGGACTGATATACACCAGCTACCATGAGGTGGATCTTTGGAGTGGTACTGAAACCCAGTCTGACCCTGACCTATGCTAATGCGTGTATCTGGTGGAGCAAGGCTGCTGTGCAGCGAGGAACTTGAGAAACTTGCTGGGGAGGATCACTGGGACGATAAGGTCTACACCTACGGCGGCTCTGAGAATGCTCCTCATCATTGAACTCTTCGTGTGACCCTTAAAGCGGTCGCAACTAAAGCTCTTTACATGATCAGAAACATTTACAGAGAGGGAAGCGAGGAAGGGCTGTTTGAGTTTCCCAAGAATGTGATGCCCCTTGACCGCACAAAGAGCCTTTTCCCCGGGATCAGCCTCTATTCTCAAAAGGACTGGTCTCCCTTTCTTGTGACGGTGACCTATACGGTTCACGGATGAACTGATGATGTCGCGATTCGGGTCTACAGGCAGGGTCTTCGGTTGTAGTTGCTTCCAAACGGTACGCTAGTACGAGTGGCAAGCTTCTTTAGATGTGCTTCCATTTCTGATGCTGAATGTGGACAAGGTGGTTTTGCTAATGGTTCCGGTCGGAGGAGAACTAGCTCGCAGATGACCTTGTTAAAGCGATGCCCAAGAACACCTCATCGATCCAGAACTTGCAGTGGATAGCTCCAGCAGCCTGGTCAAGCAACAAATGTCGAAATGGGCTGCTTGAGAACTCTATAGGGACTGGGGAACATAACACATCACAAAGATGTAAGCAGACAAAGGCCCTCTTCTCTCCTACTAACTGTAGAAAGTGGGAAAAACAAATTTCAGTCTCGACAGGAAAAAATCCAAGACTCTAGTGGAACTGCGCTACCACGGAGACGAACTGGGAATAACCGTCAATTCTTCCTGTCGCTTTTGCGAGGAGGAGACTGTGGTGGCTGATTAAAAGGGGAAAGTCAAGTGATTGCCGGTGGTTTTGAGATCTGAACAAGCCTGAATCCAAGACAATCATAATAATGCTCTGTACAATAATCAAAATTACATTTAAATCCATTACAACATAACAATCCCAAAAAAGAACTGTATAAAATGTAGTCTGTATTTTTTGAACATTACTGTAGATCATTCTCTGGTATATTATTTACCTTGTTAATTCATAATTGTATTGAGGTTTTACTATTATTGTACTAGTTCACACCGTGGTCTATTGTCTTTTTTTTTTTACGGAAATTTACATGCCGTTCTTCTATTCGTGTCGATGGAGATGAAGGAAGACCTCGTCGTTGCGTTGAAAAAACTACTTTCAAACAAAAAGAGTACAAGATTCATTTTCAGATGCCTAGTAGAAGGCAAAAATGTGTCACGATCGACCTTGATGGTTACAATCTCGATTTGGATGGTTGTTACGTAACAATAAGTGGCCGATGTATCGGTGAAACAGTCGATCGCATTTGAATTCGACCGAAACTGGTCAAAATTATCATATATCTATAATAATGTTTGTCAGTTGGCTACCAAAAAGTTTCAGAAGCATTGTTTGGATTTTGATGTATTTTCACTTCAGATAGTTTTAAGCTATGTTTGAACGACCATCATTATGACATCACAAATTTTGTGGATTGACTGGATTTTTACCATTGGAGTAATCGAAAAGGGAAATCTAGCTAGGCTCGGAATCTGTGGGAATTTTCAGGACTCTTTTTCGATATTCATACTTAAGTGATATTCCATTACGTTATGACTGAATGTTTTTTTTTTGCGAACGTCTTTCCTATCCTGAACCAATTTCCCGAAAATTAGAACATCACAATCTCTAACTATATGCGAAGAGAAATTTCATCTCTGCCCTTATTTTTTATGCTTCTGCTTGTTAAATGTATGTTTCTAATCAGTCCTTTATGTTTCACAAGGTGCCCTACCATCCGATCTTTCCCTTTTTAATTGACTTCCATAACGCCCTCTGTTTTATTATTTTCCGTAAAACTAGAACATTCCAATAAAATAATTCGAAGTGGTCTGTATTCTGTCGAAACTGCTAGACGCGGATCGCGATTTCGATCTTTTTGGATCTCATCAGCGCGTCGCAGGCAGCTCCGACAGAACACAGACCAACTTTTACCTGCTGTCTTAACAGCGCGTTTCAGAAAATACCACAAATAGCGTGGTAAACGCCATCTGTAGTACGATGCTACATTTTAGGATTACGTATGCTCCAACCTTGCTCCGACCTTGTTGGAGCATACGTAATCCTAAAATGTAGCATCGTACCTACTACAGATGGCGTTTACCGCGCCATTTGTGGTATTTTCTAGAACATTCCACATCCCTATCACAGGTCTACCTCTGCTACTTTTTACTCCTGTTTTTGCTTCTAATAAGTCTCTAGCTAGTCCTTTATGTAGATAAAAAGGTGTCCTACCATCCTATGTATCCTTTTCCTTGTTGATGTTGACTTTCTGTTCTGCCTTTTCTAATGCCTGATCCTCATTTGTAATTATTGCTATCCAAAGTACTTTCATCATGCCCCTATACCACCACATCTCAAACGTATTACTACGTAACTAATGTATGGCTTTTGTCTCTCATCTCTACAGTATTTTGTGCTAATTACATTTGTTTAAAATGTTCGTTTGATTAAGCGATTGAATATTTATGTATTGTTTCAGATATCGAAGACTCGCATTAAAATGGCACCCTGACAAGAATCCCCAGAATTCAGATGAAGCTACCAAAAAATTTAAAGAAATCTCCGAAGCTTATGAAGTGTTATCTGACGGTAAGATAGATTGCATCTCTATTATTATTATTTTTTTTTTCGTATTTCAAATCTCTTCATATTTGTTATCTTCAGTAGTTGACATTTTATAAAATGAACTTATTCGAGTATGAATTTTAATTGACTTTAATGCTGGTATCAAAATAAAGAACGTATTGTTTAATTGTCACTAGGAATCCACTTACTTATATAAAATATTCCGATATTATTTTGAACGTAATTGTTCATAAGTAGTAAAGTTTACTTCTCATTTGTAATATAATAAAAGTGACGATAATTATCTTATTATTGTCAAAATTTCCTAAAAAAATTTTTCGATGGATCATCTATCGTGTTTTTTTTTTGTTATTTGACTACAGACTCCAAACGAAAATTATATGATAATCGGTCATACCAGAGGACGGCCAATAACAAGACCTCACGCACATACAGAAGTTACTTTGATCCACCTTTCCATCGTTTCTTCGGTATATGTATAAAAAAACTTATGCACTTTTGTAAAACAACAAAAATAACAACAGTAACAGCAACCTTTAATTAATAAAAAAAAAACATTGAAAAGAATTTAAACAAAATACTAACGAACGCAGGCTAACTAATAGTATTAATCCAACCCTCGCTTTATTTTTTTTTTTTTCGTTTGTTTTTTGTTTTCTTTTTGTTCTTATGAACGATATTTCGTGAAGAATTTTTTAATTTCGGTTGCAAAGTTACATTTTATGCATTTATCTGTATAAATAAATCAAAATTTGTTCTTTTAAGAAACACTCTGTATATAGTGGATTAAACTGAATTCTTATTAAAATTAAAATTTGTTAACAAGAAAATTCGGTTAATATTTTTAATATTATTTTAATAATATTAACCATTACGTTGTTGTGATTCTAGGA